ATTTTTGTAAAGGAAGAAGTTGCTTCAAATGATCCCAGGAACCCGCCATTTGCGGATTGCGAGACATTTTTGGGACACCCTGCAGACTGTTGTAAATCGATGTGAAGACAAAAGAAATGTGAAACAATGCGTATGAAGACGATTATTTGGTTCAAACGATGAGCGAGTGAGCTATTAGAGCAAGCCACTATAGTGGCGCGTCGTCCAGAGAGATGACATCCGCGAAAGCCACTATAGTGGCGTGTCGTTCTAAAAGATGATATCCGCGGAAGTCACTATAGTGGCGCGTCGTGCCTAAAAGGTTAAACGCGCGTGCCGCGCGCTGGAAACAACGGCGCGATCCGGCAACACTCGGCCCGACACAGGAAATAATCGAAAGGGAGCGCAACAACGTGTTGCCGGGGAAAATCAAAATTGGAAATGGAAGAAATCGACGCCAAGATTTCGGATCGTTCGCCGAAATTTTCGAGCCGGTGATCGATCTTTCGGACAAAAGAATCGCAATTTCGCGAGGGGCGGGGGCGAGAACGTTGACGTCGTGCCGAGCGATCTTCAATCTTGTTAAATCCGCCGTTTCAAACCCTGGCGGAGCTGAAACTCCGCTGTCGAAGGCGATGATAAATAGGTCAGCCCGCGTTCCGTGAATCGAAGCCGCGTCTCGGTGCCCACTTGAGTCTGAATTTCCACGGAAATTGTGTTAATTGCAAGTTCTCGGTCAAGGATGCATCGATTGAACGACCTGGGATATCCGGTTCGCAGAGTGCATTGCGCCTTTTACGGAAGCGAGATACCGCGTTCGACTGATATTCGACGCACTTCGTCCGATAATTAAGTAATTCGGATGACAGCGCGTCTGAAAACGTGACGCTTCAGGTGTCTGTCTTCTGAGCTTTTCCGAAAGAGCTGTGGAAATCGCGGAAAGCGATCTACGATACGGAAAACCGACGCTGCTGTTTGGAAAACGAGTTGGCCTTTGGGTTCTTTTCACGCATAATTAACTTCGTATTTCGCGAATAAGACATATTGAATCTTTTTAGTCTTTTTTATTTGGTTTGTGTTTTGAATAACAAATTTTTGATATTCCTTACTCGATAAATGTAATGTTAATTATGCCGGAAAACAGGACAAAGACGCAGCAGTGTTTTATTATCCTTACTACCCTATTATTTACTACCCTAACATACCCACCCCTAGTAAATCTTTCAGGGACCTGAACTTGTTTAAAATTATATAATTTTATATAAATAAAAAGAATAAAAATTACAAATACGAATACAAATAAAAATTATATAATTTTTGATAAAACAGTAGAACCTTTGTTATCTGAAGGTTTATTTTTGTAATACCCTGGCAGCATAAACTATATCTACTATCTAAAAATTTCATTCGAGTTATCTAGTAGATGATAATGCTTCTAAATAAAATACAATGATTAGATAATAGAACGTGCGGATAGCAGAATATTATAAACACAAATGTTCGGATAAGGGAGTCTCCACTGTACTCTTAGTATAGTCGCGTTCATTCTCGCGAAGTCGTATACTTCTAATTAATAACGCAGAATGAAAATTAGTCTCCAACAAAGTCCTATAATTTGTGCTAATTCGATGGACTCACCGTGGTCTTCTCTAAACAACGAAGCAGATGATGATGCTGCAATTCGAAAATATCCTCCTCCTTGTAAGAGTCGTCCATCTGAAGGCCGCTCTCCTGCGCGGCCAAACGGGCTTCGGCCGCCTTCTTTTTGCTCACGAAGGCCGCTCCGCTTGACGCTTTCGCGATCCTGATGCGCGCTAGTCTGGCTTTCTGCAACAAACACGAGCATTTCAATTAGGAATTTCATCGCATACTGGTGGACTGTGGATTCGATGCGACTACGGCTAAATTGAATGGGTCGAATAGATACTAAATTGTGAAGTCGATGAAAGAATTTAAGGATTTGGTACATTGTGTTTAGTTTATTGCAGTTATTAAAAGAGAAAAGACAGTTTCATCTAGCTCATGTTCTTGACGATTTTAACTCAGACTATTCTTATTTTAGTCTACCTGTAAGTAAATCGAAAGAACTGGAAAACCATTTATAATTTATTTTATAATAATAATATAATCTATTTTATAACAGATCGCTCCATCTTGTCATCATCAATTTGCTTCTATTAGGA